AATGTCACTCTAAAATGGGGCAATATTTCCTGGGACAAAGAACATAGGCCATTTCAGTATGGATGAACATAGAGAGGAATAAGTACAGAGGTTCAAATCCTTTTTAAAATACACTTCATAGGAAGGGATAGATGGAACCATTTTCCATAAAATTGCACAAAGATCCTGGAACCCTATGAATAAAAACTAGAGTGGTTTTCTGGGATAGCCTAGAACACTAACGTACATCAGAGACCCTGTAAACTCAGCACACACACGTATGCTCCTCTAACATTACTTTAATGAATTCACATCATTATCTTAGTCATTAAAACTTTAGGGTCCTAGAGAGAAGAAAATATGTTTCTTCATTATTTTATTCTATCAACCTAGGAGAGTAATATGCTCCTTGAGAGAGCTTAGTAAGTACTTTCTGATGGGTACTAGATAAAACAAACTAGTCATTTCAGGACAGTTCCTTGTGACTTACAATAATAGTAATAATATTAATAATGAAATGTATTATATGCTATCATATAATTTAGGATGTACCTGGAAAAGGCATTTGGCGGGGGGCAGGGGAGGGATATGAGAGAGGGCTCAAGTTTCAACTACCTAAGTTTATGTACAGAAAGCAAGAAGTCAGTATTCTTCCAGATCAGACTGTAGCCTGGGAAAAAAGTTGCTAGCTGTGAAGCCTTCCCAGAATAGCAATGTATTTGAATTTCAAATTTATAAATCCTCCTCTTTCTTAAACAAGTGAGAGATGGATACAGGTAACAGTCAAAGAATAAACATGGACTAACTGACACAGGAGTCCCTGGGCAGTGCAAACAGCTAACTGGCTCAGCTGCCAACTGAAAGGTTGGAGGTTGGAGCCCACCCAATGGCACCTCGGAAGAAAGGCCTGGTGACCTACTTCCGAAAAAGCAGCCATTGAAAACCCTATGGAGCACAGTTCTATTCTAACACACATGGGATCACTATGATTCAGAATGGACTCCACAGCAACTGTAGCAGAACGGTCACAAGAACATACAAAGTTACAGCCAGAACCAGCTCTTTTGTAGAACCACACTCCTCTTGGAAAAGCCACAAAGACTAAGTATGGCCATCACAGTTGGGACCCAGGTCTCACTGCTGGTCCTCTTGTATGTCTTTCTCCAACTCCTTTGGTTTCCTCCATTAACACCTACAAATGTCACCAGTGCCCCATTCTGTGCAATATAGGAAGATTCTGTAAGGAAAATCAGGGGTTGACCTCAATGAAAGCCAACTTCATAATCCTGTTATTACTTGTACTAATTCATCTTAATCAAGTGATTTAATCTGCAGTCATACAATGTAAACAAGTATAATCCCAAATTTTCCTCCACAAACTGGACAACCAATTTAAATTCACAAGAATTTATCAGTAGCAACAAGAGATTAGGATGGAACCAAGATCCAGAAGCAGCAAAAGCAGAAGGGCACTTCATATCATGAGCTTCTAAGGTGAAAGGAGATAAGAACTACATTTTCTGGATGAGGAATAACGGGAAATTCTCATCCACAATAAGGAGACTTGATTCCAGTACTCTGTTCTGGGACACTCTCCCTCATTAGTAACAAAATTGCCCAGATCCCAGGTCACACGCAGAATTTTCAGAAGTCATGTTCTCTTCAATCTCAGAAGAGGGAAGGGTAATCCGTGAACAACTAAGGAACCATCTCCTTGATGCATACTTTTCTCAAATCAGGAGTGAAAATCAGAGTAGATAATGACTGGGTCTAAACTAGAAGATTTCCTGAAGAAGAAGGTGGCAACTCACTCACATATACAACCTTCACACCATTTAAAAAATGAACTAGGTGAATCAGTTTCTGCAGAACAGAAATGCATTTAACTCTTTATTTGGGTCCAAGCAGCTTTACCTGGAATGGCTTGTAAATTCCATATGAAATGAATAAGGAATATATAGGATAATAAAAATAAAATAAAAATGGAGGTCAGAAAGCAGATAGCCACAGGAATATTCATTGAGAAGAGAATTATAATCAAGTAATCTAATACTGAATTTCCTGGTTATTGGATAAATACTTTTTGAATGATGATTATACATAATAACTAAAACACGTGCTGTACACAAGAAATGTTATCAGTGACTATTAGAGATAAGGTTCCCATTCTCCTGGAGTTCATATTCCAATAGAGGGAGACAGACCATAAATACCAGTAAATAAACAAGATGATGCTGTAAAGAGAATATACAGAGTGATGTGTGATAGTTGCACTATAGGAGATAGAGGACATAGTTATGTAATAGAGAGTGACCTGGGGTAAGGGGCTACTTCACATAAGGGTGACAGTGGAGCTGAGAACTGAGTGTTGACAATGACCCAGGCAAAGAACCATCTGTAGGAAGAGTGTTTCAACAGAGGGAGCATCTAGTGCAAAGACTAAGGAAACTTGGCTGTGTTCAAGGAATAGACAGAAGACCAGGTGGCTGGAGCAGAGGGAGTGAGGGGGGAGTAGAAAGAATTCCAGAGCAAGGCAGAGGCCTTGTAGTTGAGGATAAGGGCCCTGGATTTTATTCTAATGTGACGGGAAGCCCTTGGCAGGTTTTAACCAGGGGAGAGATAGGATCTGATCCCAGATGCAGGTAGGTTTGTAGATGAAGTGATTGGAAAATGAAGGAATTCCTTCATGATTATTTTGTTTTCTCATTGTAGGACAAGGTAAGGTTGTCAATCAAGACAAGAGCGAAATTTAAGAGTGCAGGAAGTCTGAATGGTTTATGCAAGTAGACAAAAGGAGAGAGTGGGAAAAAAGTCTTACGAAGGAACTTTGCTCTCCATATGACTTTGCCCATAGCAGTGTGTCCTATAGACACTTGCTTCAGAATCTTCCAGAGTGCTTGTTAAATCTCAGCTTCCTGGGCCACGCTCCAAACCTCTGAGTCTCTGAAGGTGGGCTGGAACCCAGGAACCTGCATCTTAAAAAAGCATCTCAAGAGTTTCTAAAGCATGCTCATGGGCAGGAACTGGCTGAGAGCCAAGAGACAGTCTGGAGAGGGTATTCAGCAGAAGCCAGGAAGGGGAAGTGGACAAAGCATGAGCAAGGAACAATGGGATGACAGTTGGACAAGAAGATGAGCAGTGCATACTTGATAGGGAAGCCATGGGAAATCAGGAGGGGCATGTTTAGGTGAGGTCAAATTTCAAAGGGTTTGAAACTCTGAAGAGATAATTTGTAGATTTTTGAACAAGGGAGTGGAATAATGAAAAAATATATACATATATAATTTTGTTTTTCATGAGTGGAAGGGTTAAAGAAGCTGGGATTAGAGTGACTTGTAAGAGAGGAGGCTGTTACATGGGTTAATATAATGCTTATAAAAAACCAAAACAAAATTCGTTGCCATTGAGTTGATTCCGACTCATGGTGACCCCATGTGTTACACAGCAGAACTGAGCTCCATAGAGTTTTGTTGGCTGTAATCTTTATGGAAGCAGATCACCATGCTTTCTTCCGTGGTGCAAGTTGGGTGGGTTTGAACTGCCAACCTTTTGGTTAGTAGTCAAGTGCAAACTGTTTGCACCACCAGGGACCTAATATAATGCTTAGGATTAGAATATTGGAGTAAGAATGATAAAAAGACAAAACAAAGAGCACATTAGCTGTAACATTTGACAGGTAGGTAGCCCTGGCCTTTCATGTGTCTAGAGATAAGTGACCTAGAGCATGGCTCTGCTCTGGTAACCAGTGCAGACTTGGAGGGGATGATGAATTGGCAGAGCTGCTGAAGAATTTGATTTTCAATTGATGCTATCCTTTTTGTAATTTATAAATGGGAATGGAATACTGGTGGGAAGCTAGGTCTGGAACTATGCCTTGTGGAAGTGTTAGGGAAAGTCGTGATTGTGCACTTGTTCAAAGGGAGTTAATATACAGAAAAATGAAACAGAAATGCAGATGTGATTGTGGGAAATATTCAGTTAAGGTTCAGGAGAGACTTGAATGTCAGGAAAGCAGACAGAGTACAAGGTGTAACAGAACCAATGTAATGCAATGTCCCAGACACTTTAGCAAGTTGAGGGTGTTCGCTTAAATTCTGGTCCACACAGTAGGCTTATTGGTGATATAAGTGGTAACAACTAACATCTAACTTTAATTTGTCTAATTCCCTTGATACCACGCCAGCTCATCACTAGATTCATTTTACAGATGAGGAAACTGAGCATCAGGGAGTTAAATGACATGCCGAAAGTTACCAGTTATTGCGGTCTCCGTACCGTAAACCTCTTAATAAACTAGGAATGCACTGTACCCTGAAGATAATTAAAAAGTTAGATCATCTTATAGCCAAGAGACTCTAATCTTAACAAAACATAAAATTAAGCCAATCTAGAAAAAAAAAAGTTACGTTAAACATTAAACATTACGGAAGGTAAATAACACGGAGGAAACCACGGTTTTAAGTCACGTCTCCGCTTTTGAAAACGACTCCACATGTTTAACGTTCAGAACCTCTTTACCAACTTCACATCAAAGTTCAAAAGATAAGAGAACCGTGCCTGGCAGATAGACATTATTATTCTACTTTAGGGACAGGGGCGGGAGGCTTTGCTGCATTTACTGGGTAGGAGCAGAGTTCAGCGTACACAGCAACACCTCCGCGTGGCGGAGCCTGCTGCGGAGGTCACCGCACACAGTCTGGGGAGGTTTCGGTCACGGGGCAAGTCGGAGCGCTTGCAGCCCTCCGAGAGCAACGGCGATGAGCACTACAGAATCCAAGGCGCGGGGAGTCCAGAGAAGACGGAGCGAGCATGCAGCCAGCCACGCCGGGTATCATACAGAGCCAGTCTCCAGTTCTGGTGGTCTCAGCCCGTGGGGGTAATTTGAGACCAGGAGACTGCAGGGGTCTCCCAAAGCTAGCGGGAGGCAAGCAAGCGTCCAGCACTACCCTTACTTTCTCGCTTTCGACTCCCTGCTTTGCATCGCAGCACAGTGGTCCCCCCTGCCCCAGACGCGTCCCTACCTCCGCGCTCCCCCTCCCGGTCACCGAAGACCCCTGGCGCGACGAGAGCCAAGAAAACCCAAAGGAGGTGCGCTGCGCCCATGCCACGGCGGAGCTCCAGCGGCACGACGCCTTCTGAGATCCGCGAGCCTCTGGGAGGGCAGGGCTGGAGCAGGAGGCAGCTGCAAGCAAGGCGGAGGTGGGCCCTTAAATAGCGCCTGGCACCTCATGCTGGGTTTGCTCGAACACCTGCAGGCTGCTAGCGGGCGGGACTCCGACTCTCAAGAGGATGGAAGAGGCGGGAGGGGCTGGCAGGGGGCGGGGGGCGAGCCGAGGAACTCAAGAGTAGCTTTTAGCTTTGACTCTCCATCCCCTCGCCTTGGTGCACTGGCTTTCCAACTTTTTTGATCCTGCAACACAGTTCACCCCCTTAGCTCTCTTTAGAACTGAAACAAAAATTCATAAAATAGTGCTCAAGTTTACAAATCTGCAGTGCTCTCTTATTCTATCCTACTCAACTCAACTCTATTATATTCTTTTCTAAAATTCTGGGTTTTATTCATTAAATTTACTTCAAAACCTAGGTCTAACCCTTTGTTTCCACTGTTTGCTTAGAGAGGGAACTCACAAACAGCAGCCACCTCTGCTATTGTCCTTTTTACTTTGAAGTAATTCCTACAGAAAAGTTGCAAAAATAGCCCAAAGAATTCTCATATACCCATCACCCAGATTCTCCATTAGATAAAATATAGCATTAGATAAAATGCTAACATTTTACTATATATTCTTTATCGTTATCTATTCATCTAACTACACATACTTATGTATACATGTATATGATTGTTGTTGGTTGCTGAGTAGAACCTCTCCATAGGATTTTCAAGGCTGTGACCTCTCAGAAGCAGATCTCCAGGCCTGTCTTCCCAAGGTGCCTCTGGATGGGTTTGAACTGCCAACCTTTGTGCTAGTAGTGGAGCTCTTAACCACTTGTGCCAGCCAGGGACTCATATATATAATTTAACGATTATAACTAGATAATTATCACTTCAGAGTCATTTAAGATAATTTACAGGTATGACACTATCTCCTCTCAATACTTCAGTGTGTATTTCCTAAAAATAAGGACATTCTTTTACATAAGTACAGTACAATGATCAAAATAGGAAATTAACATTGTATAATATCTGGAGCCCTGGTGGTGCATTAGTTAAGCATTTGATTGCTAACCAAAAGGTCGGCAGTTCGAATCCACCAGCCGCTCCTTGGAAACCCTATGGTGCAGTTCTACTCTGTCCTATAAGGTCGCTATGAGTTGGAATTGACTCTACGGCAATGGGTGGAATACTATTACCTAAGTTACAGACTGTATTCATATTATTCCAATTGCCTCACTAATGGTCATTATAGCAAAACAAAAACAAAACAAAAAACCCCAAAGCCAAAACATTATAGAAAAAAAAAAGAAGCCAAAACTTTTTATTCTTATCCAGGATCAGTCAAAGATCACACTTTGCATTTGATTATCATGTCTTGCCCCCACTCCTGCCCTTTAATTTGGAAATGGACTCAGTCTTTTTTATCTTTCATGACCTCGACCTTTTTGAAGACTACATGGTGGTTATTTTTGTAGAATGTCCCTTAAATTAGTTATCTGTTGCAGTGTAACAAATTACCATAAACTAGTGGCTTAAAGTGAGAATAAACACTGATTATTTCACACAGTTTCTGTGGGTCAGGAATTTGAGAGCGGCTTAGCTGGGTTGTTCTGGCTTAGGGTCTCTCGTAAGGGTGTAGTCAAGACATCAGTTGGAGTTGCAGTCATCCAAAGGTGTGATGGTTAAGATTGTGTGCCAACTTGGCTGGGCCATGATTCACCGTGTTTTAATGTTATCACTCCCATGATTGAATATACTGTGAGTAGCCGATCAGATGAAAGGGAGTCTCCTTGGGGGTGTGGCCCGCATCTGTATATAAACAGACGTTCTGGCTTTTTGCTCTCTCTGGATCCTGTGGCTGCTTCCTGTCGTCTCATCTTCCCGTTCTTGGGACTTGAGCTGTCAGCTTATCTGCCAAACCTGGGATTCCTCGATCTGCACAGCTTGTGAGTGGGAGCCGTGCTCTCCGACCTTCCGATCTTCGGCTTGCCAGCTTCTGCAGCTGTGTGACTTGGGAGAGGCCTCTACCCTGATCCACGGACTTGGGACGTTCTAGCCTCTACAATCATGTGAGCTGTTTCCTTGATATAATCTCTCTCTATATATTTATACACTTTACTGGTTTTGCTTCTCTAGAGAACCCAGCCTAAGACAGAAGGCTTCACTGGACCTGGAGGATCCACTTCTAAGATGGTTCATTCACATGGCTGGATGCCTCACTTCCTTACCATGTCAAACTTGTCATAAGGCTGCTTGAGTGTTCTTTTGACATGGCAGCTGGCTTCCCCCAGAGCAAGAGAGAAAGGCAGAAACCACATTGTTTTTTCTGACCTAGCCTCAGAAGTCACACTATACTATTTCCACAGTATCCTAGTGAATACACAGGTCAGCCCTTTTCAGTGTGGGAGGGCACTACACATGGGTGGGAATACCAGGAGGCAAAGATCATTGGGGGCCATCCTGGAGGCTGGCTACCTCATCCCTCAATTTGAGTTTGTCTGATGTTTCTTCATGATTAGATTCAGGTTATGCATTTTTGGCAGGAATACTACAGGAGGGGTGTTGTATCCTTTTCAGTGCATTATGTCAGGAGGAACATGATGTCTCTCCTGTTACTGGTGATGTTAACTTTGATCGCTTAGTTTAAGGTGGTATCTGCCTGCTTTCTCTACTCTAAAGTTAATATATTTTCCTTTATAATTAATAAGTATCTTGTGGGAAGATACTTTGAAACCATGTAAAGATCTCATTTTTCATCAAATTTTAGCACTAATGTTAGCATCCATTGATGATTCTTGCCTGAATCAATTATTACTATGATGGTTGCCAAATGGTGTTTTTCCTAATTCAATCATTTCTTCTGTATTTATTAGTTAAAATTCTACTGTAAATAAGAGCTTTCTCTCCCATTTATTCATTCATTTATATCACTATAGACTTATGGATTTTTATTTTATCCAATGTGTCCTGATATGATATTATTATTATTTATTTTAATGCCAAATTATTCCTGATTTGGCTAGTGGGTTGCTTCTGTGTCATTTTGACCTCCTTCCTACATTCTTTAAGCACTTCCTTTCTTTCCTGCAAAACAAGGGATCCCAAGCTCACCTTGTACTTTTATAGCCCCAGCCTTGGACCTTTCCATTTCTCCAAGGAGTTCTGATTCCTTTTAGTGGAGAACGGTATTTAGAAACCAAGATCTTATTGTGTGTGCTTATTGCTATTGTAGTGTCATTGTTTGTATACCTTCTCAGAAGACAGAGCTATGTATGTATGGGAGTGCATATATCTATTCCTTTATATATTTAAATCTATTCCTATCTATATTTATATTTAAATCATGAATTCATACCACTACTTATAATCCCCATCTAACAATACAGGATTCAATTTACTCTTCCACCTTTCCATTCTCCAACAGTGACCCATGTAGTTTCCATTATCCACAATATATTTACGTATTACTCAACCCTAGAATACACAGAATGTAGCTGTAGAGTTGCTAATCCATAATACAGTGAAAAGGAAACCTACAAATTTTACATCTTTTGTTTTGTTTTTAGCCTGAAAGTGTGAAAACAGTATTGCTTTCTTCAAAAATTACCTAAGTTAGTTATGTTATTTTTTTAAAATGCAGTTGGACTCATTTGTTTCACTTTGTATTACATTATAGTTTTCCCCTCAACTTTTCTGATTTTTTTGCATATGTGAAATATTGATGTGGTTCCAAACACCAGAACCATATAAAAGATATACTCAGAAAGTGTCATTTTCCCCATCACTTCTATTCCCACCTCCTTCTTTTCCATTCCATTTCCACCAACCCCTGTAGATACTCAATTTTAAAAGTTTCTGGCTTGTCTGTTTGATATGTCTTTTTGCCCAAATGAGCAGATAAACATATGTCTTCTTATTCTATAGAAGAGTCCTGGACAGAAGGGGAAAATGCAGAACAGAATTTCAAATGCTCATGAAATCCAGATTTTCTGGAGCCATGGAGACTCGATAAACACCCAAAACTATTGCCCTGAGATAATCTTTAAGCCTTAAACCTTAAACCAAAAATATCCACTGAAATCTTCTTAAAACCAAATAATAGTTTAGCTTAACTAGTAAAGAATGTCTTCCTTAAGCATCGTGCTATTTTAAGATCTACATACGTGGAATCAAATTGACAACAGCAACTCAAAAGATTAGATAGCAAACTTAGGGGGCAGTGAGTTTATGTTAATGGGGGGGAGCAACTCAGAAAAGGAGGGTGAGAATGGTTGCATGACTTGAACAATGTAATCAGTGTTACTGAATTGTACATGTAGAAACTGTTAAATTGGTGCATGTTATATACACCAATTTTAGTCAACCTGATAGCTGAGAAATTGTACCTCAGTGTAGTTTTAATTTTTATTTATCTTATTGTGAGTAAGCTTGAACACATATTTTCATAGGTTTAAGACTTAAGAAGAAATAGAAGATCTTAACAGACCCATAACAAGTGAAGAGATTGAATCAGTAATCAAAAACCTTCCAACAAAGAAAAGGGCTGTACCAGATGGCTCCACTGGGAATTTCTACCAAACATTTATAGATGAAGTGATGTCAATCCTTCTTAAACTTTTACAGAAAATAAAAAAGGAGGAAACACTTCCTAACTCTTTCTGTGAGGCCAGCCTTATTCTGGTACCCAACCAGACAACACAAATTAAAAACAAAACAAACAAAAAAACTACAGACCAATAGCCCTGTGTATCTGCTGTGTACATATTTTTTACAACAACAAAAATAAAATAAAATACAAAAAACATGTGTCTTCTTATTTCTCCATTATGTCATGAAAGATAGCATGCTATAGGGACACTGGTACTTTGCTTTATTCACTTAACAAATAGGCTAGAGTTCACTCATTTTTTTTTTTTTTTTACAGCTTCATAGTACTTGATTGTAATAAGTGGACATGCCATGGTTAATTCAAACACTTTCCTAAGT